TATAATTCATATTTAGTTCTTTTTATGAAATTCATGATATTTTTCTGGTATTGTTTTTTTCATTGTTTATATGTTCAAATAATGAGTAAAAAGCAAAATTACACTTACACGGCAGTGCTATTCGTAGTTCCACATGTATTACCTGGAAAAATAATGTGGCTGTCTATGAATATAGAGCAGCTATTCTGGAGATACTACACATAAGAATAGAAGCGAACAACATGCCACTACTAAAATAAATATGTAGTATAAAAAAATCCAGTGGCCAGTCCACATCGGTGCTAGGAGTAGTATAAAGAACCACAATCGTAAAAATAGCGTTGTCTCACTCCGTATCACCTATCGATACATTGATATTGGTAGAAAATCATAAGCGGAAGCGTGTTTATTTAGCTTATAATCATTTATGGTCGATTTTCGACTAGTTGAATGTATCAAACAGCCATGATAGATATCAATCATATGATCAAAATGAAACTGTCTTTTCGGATTTATTTTGATTTTTGGTTCTCCCAAATCAAAAAAAAAATGCGAAAAGATAGTTTGTTTTAAATATCAAATATTCGCGTAAATCTAAGAAAGTATTATATGATCAAAACGTTTAGAATTCCTTAGAAAGTTATGTTTATAATAGTAGGCATGTTTACTTTTTTCTTTAATATATACGTTTAAGACGAATTACCTTAGATTCATTCCCCTCTTTTATTATGAATGTTTTTTACTTAACTGTTACTATATTATCAAATCTTGATTAGTTACGGCTACGATGCCTAATCTCACTGAGACTGCGCAGGAAATATTATAGTACACAAGCGCGAAAACACAAGTGCAATCTCTTTTCCTGTCGCTGTTATAATCAGGTGGGACGACAACTCGATACGACATACGATATTCGTATCGAGTTGTGGATCTCTAGTGGCCAAACACCACCAACCATCGAGACAGATCCCATTCATCACATCTCCAAATCGCATTAAGATAAGAGGGAAAATAAGAGGGAAGATCCCATGCCCAGCAGTGGGAATATAAAATCAAAGTTTCTGTTTAAAAGTTTAATATAAAATATTTTTATTAAAAGAGCTGAATTAATATTACTAAAATTTATCAGGAATAATTTTACACATTGCTTACAACTTAGACCACCTATCGTTGGACCCTCCAGGTTAACATTTTACGACGGGGTTAGAGGTGACACAATATTGGTTCTCTTCGACTTTGTAATTGAAAACTAGGTTTTGTGGGTATTTTGTTAGGATTACTAGGATATATTTGTAATATTATCAAAATTGTTATAGCCAGGGGTCTTAGGTTTGATTATTATATAAGGAAAATATTTGTTGTCCTTGCCATATCAGAATAATTGGTATGAATTTATGTCAGAGGGAAAAGATTTTTGACGAAAAGTGAAGCTGTTGAAATAAGAATTTTCGTTGAAGAAGAGTTTTCATAACATTTTGGAAACTTTCTATTGAGATTGTCTTTAAAACAGATCTCATTAATATGTGAATCTTTCATTAGAAAACAGTTTACAGTTGACATAGTGTATAAGATATATTTAAATGTTTAGGAACATTTAATATACTTTGAATCCATTAATTTTTGGGTATAATATTTTTCAAGATATATTTCGAGAGGCTGAGTGCAAGTGTACGTATTCTGAATGTAGATGTTGGAGAATTCTGATAAATAAAGAAAGAGGTAAAGCGGTACGTAAACATTCGCTAGGGGTGTGAGGCGCAGTAAAACGTTAGTATTTTTTTAGATTTGACATTTTAAATAAAACTATGTATTTTTTCGGGTTTTTTTCGCAGATGCTTAGAATTTTTAAAAGATATTGAATGCTACTTTAGTACCATTTTAGTATATTTGAAGTCAACTATATAATCTCTACAACCTTATTCTCTCTCGTGGCCATGAATGATGTAAAGCATTGAAACGTCACGTCGTTTGTATGTATATCTTTATGGCATACATCCCATTTTTTTAAAATATCCATGTAAAACTGTAATTCTATTTGTTTAAGATTTATTATAATATCTATTTGATTGTGTAATATATGTTTTTATCCATTTTTGTCCTGCATTTAAAATTAAATGTACCTACGAGAAGTATAACATATCAATTTTTTTTTATAAATCGGTTAACCAACAGAGGAGAAAGATATACTATATTGTTTTGTCCTAGCTTATTTATATATAGACTACTAACTCACCCTCGCTCCGACCGGGTTCATCCTTAGTGAAAATTTAGGTTTGTATGTATTTTTTTATACCGAATCATAAAAACATTAAAATGAAAAAAATTCTGTCCAAAAAATTAAAAATATTTTTTTGGGGTGGACCACCCTTATCAAAGGGGTATGAAAGATAGTTTACGTCATACTCTCTGATCTATTGAATATACACACAAAATTTCTTAAGAATAGTTTAAGCCGTTTCGGAGGAGTTTTGTTACAAACACTGTGACACGAGAATTTTTAAATTAGATAATATAATAAACATTTTTTAAATTATATTTCTATATTTATTGTTGATCTCGATACAATTTCTCCTGTGACAACCCTAGCAGCTAATATGTGAGTGACAGACGGACGTAAATTACATACGTCGCATCATACCCCCGGGTTTGACTTCGATACCCATTTTATTACCACCGTCAAGTATAACTCTACCAAATTACTACCTGGCCCACACTTTATATTATAATGTACCAAAATTTTACATTTCTACTACAACATTTATTAGAAGGTATTTATTAAGTTATTATTTAGTAAGTAAATTTATTCGTATAGCGATCGAAATTTGAGTTTAATTATTATTGAAAATTTGAGAAAAACAGATATGAACACTATTTTCTTATCTAAAAAAACTAATTTTCCAAAAAATTTCGTAAAAACCTACTGAACAAAAAAATATATTGACAAACAGAGGAGAAAAATGTTTTGTACTCTTTTGTCTTTGCCTAATATATATATATATATATATATATATATATATATATATATATATATATATATATATATGCTTTATATATATATATATATATATATGTAGTTAAGTAAACTGATGTACGGACATACCAAAATTAAATTATTATTATAGATATAAAATCCTAACATGAAAGAACATGCCTAATAAAGGCAGGTAATAAAATAAACTAACAATTTAGGCTTAGACCGTACACGGTTTATGGCGTATTCTCATGGGGGCCATAACGACCCCAAAGCTACCCTTCAGAAGAATCTAGAATTTGCCTGCTATATGTACTATTGTTATTATTCTCGACTTAGAAGACTTAAAAATGAACTATAACTAAATTCATTATAATACTTTCTTAAAATATGATATTTAACAAAACCATTTTATTTTATTAAGTTCATAAATATAATAATAGCAACACTAAATAAGAACATTATTTAATAGACTTTAAAAAAATTGTAATAATAGGAACTAAATTAATTAAATAATAATTAATATTCGATTGGAAAACTTAATGAAATTATAAAAAAAATATTTAAAATTATAACTAACAAAGGTTGTAAGGTACTTTGGTGCCACTTTTGTATTTTTACATTAATTTTGTGGGTAGGCACTGTATGTAACAACCATGAAATGACCTGTGAAACGTCTAAAACTTTAGTTTCTCCCGTGACCATGATTGTTCTGAAATATAAAAGTTGATATTAACGATATTTTAAAATATTTTATTTGAGACTTAACCCTAAAAATCTTAATTGATAAAATTGATCGATTATTGTCACTTCCCAATTCATATGGCACTAATAGTATAACCCGTAGTTACTTACCCTTGCTTCACTCAACCTAGTAGTTTTTGCTAATACTTTCTGTATATATGTAATTATGTAATACGTATTTATCTTTTGGCAAACGCTTAGTGCCATTTTTAGGCACATTACAAACAGTATGTTATTATTAGTCCAGGTCTCATAGTCTATTTGTATATTAAATTTCATCCAAATCCTTCCTCAGTGTGAAGGGGTATCAAACATACATACAAACTTACGCGTTTATAATAGTAGTGTAATTTCGTAAGTCAAATGTCAAATGTAGGTTGATTATCTGTCGCTTGCTTTTCCAAAGGTCATAATTGCATTTCATATATTACTAGTGTTTTCCGCGGCTTCACACGAGTGGTTTGATTATAATTATGTATTATTACTATATCTTCAAAAAATATAGCCTATATTTTACTCTGATGTATAAGCTATATTACTGTAACATTTCATCCAAATCCGTTTAGTGGTTTTTGTGTGAAAAAGTAAAATTCATTCATCTTTACAAATTTTCGCGTTTATGATCTTCTTAGGACTAGTAGGATGTGTTGTTTAAAGATCTTGCGTGTTTTCCAACAATAAAACAAATTTTAGGGGGCAACTCTTGAGTGGATAAAAAGCATTGGGTTAAACACTTTGTTATTCGTTTATTATGGTCGTACTTCAAATACAACGTCCTTTGAAACGTAATAAAAGTTAGTAAGAGAGATCATGAAAAGCGGTTTAGGGGGCCCGTATAAAATTACATTTCTATTATAATTGCAAGATTTTAGAATGTCTCTTTCAAGCAGTAAAGGCTGGACAGATTTGGATGATGTTCTTTTTAACCTTAAAAAATGCACTTACGCATACTATTTGCCTACCTACAGGTGGTTATGTGACAACTAAACGGCTAGAAAAGCTCGTAATACAGCGTCGCAGGATCACTTACGCACTAAACAACGATGCCCTACCGAGGCAGAGCACGACAACCTTGGTCCTGTTTTAATTTATTGGCTACGGAACCCGCTTGAATTATTTACGCCGGCATGTCAGTTAACAATTGATTTCCCGGAAACTAACCACGGAGGCGTTAATAGCATACGAAAAGAACGACTCGTGCTACATGATAATGTCCGCCTGATCAATTTCAGCTACGGTAACCAATCTCACTAAGATCTACTGAAGAAAATGTAATGTAGCATGTATGAGTGCTGACACAAGTGCAATGTCTATTCTTGTCACTCTCATACTCTGGTTACTTTGGTGGGACGACAATTCGACACAACCTGTAGGAGATCAGGTGCAGGACACCTTTACTTGTTCTTCGAAGTACGGGAATGAAACACCGCCAACTTCCCAATTCCAATCTGTTACTGAAACTTTTTAAACGGAAAGACTAAATAGCTAAACTTGGCTCGAGCTAATTTTGCCCGAGACTCAAACCCAGGACCTCCGTCTCTGCAGCCATATAACCAGCATGTGCCACTAGATCAATGAAACCCCAACATAATTGTAAAATCAAACATCATACCATATTTCGATCCACCCCACGTATCTCTAAAACGTATTCAGCATCACTCAAGGAAATTGCATGTAGGTACCCGACATTACGGCGCAATAAAAATCGCTATATAATATATAATACATGCGATATAAAATAATTGCCAATGCTGGCCTCTTGGGGGATAAGCAGTTTATCCCTCTTACAGGTGGTTTAAAATACCTGAACAAGTTCGCGCCCTCACTTTTCTTAACATCCAACGGAATAAATCAATTATATACCTACATAATATGTGTATGCCAACGAAATAAATCCATTCATTAAAGATTTAAACTATACGTAATAATGCGTATGCTAAGGAAATCAATTAATATTATAATGTGAAAATAATTCTGTCTGTTAACTATACAAGGACATAGATTGCTTCCTGCGATCACATATAGGCTACCCTTGAACGGAGTAGCTTATATCCGATCCCTGCTTATTATGCGCTTAAAGCCACGAGTAAACACTAGCCTAAATATAAATAAAATTAATTTACTCGTAGGTATATAGGATTTTTGCTCGGTAAATTGGAATTGTCGGGAAAGTTTGTAATTTTTTTTCAATAATATCTTTGTATGAATGCAATGATCAAAAACAAATTAATTTAAAGTTAATCCCTCCACGACCGCGGACACGCCGGCGTGTCAGTTAATAATAGATTTCTTAGAATTTTAATTGATTTCTTATAAATTTACCTGGAGGTGATATGTAACGCCTGTCAGGGCAATAGGTAAGCAGATGAAAACTAAGCTACATAATAAATTGTTCTAAACTAAAAACATATCCCAAGGAGAAGTTTTTCCTTTCATAATTAAAGTGTACTGTCCTCGATGGATCCATTCAATGACTAAATCTCCACTAAATCTCACCAAAGAGGAGATCCCCTTTTTTTTAACGTTGGGAAATGCATTTACGCACGACGTGTCGGACTCACCGGCGTAATACAGCCAGTACTACCCACTAAAACCCAACAAAACCTTCCCCCGTCTTAATGGGGCGTCGCAGGATCGCTTACGCATTCAACTACGACGCCCCGACGGTAGGTCTGCCGAAGCAGACCACCACAACCATGGGGTTGCTCCAAGGTCCACTCTGCTATCAGAGAAGTACCAGGAGCAACCCGCATGGTACACCGCCCCCCGAAGAGGGCCACCTCCCACCGCCCACCGAAGTGGGCCACCTCCCTGTGCGTTTCTTAGCTTCGCGCCCGGTTGGATTGCCGGGCACTACTGAACCCCCCCACCACGACAAGGTGAACGCACGTTGGGGGAGGAGAGAGGACTCCCCCTGCCCTCCCCCACCGTAACGTACGTAATGGATAGTTATTTAGTTGGGCAAAAGTTTTTTTAATTTGTTAGACGAACAAAAAGGTTTTAAGGAATTTGACAGCTAAACGATACGTTGAAAATGTCAGTTACAGAAACATTTTTGCAATGACACTTTACACGAATTCAATATTATGGGAGTAGGTCGAAAAAGGTAAACTAAATTATAATCGGACTATTATTATGAACGAGAAAGTTTCTATGCGTGTATGTTTGTTACTCATCCACGCTGAAACGGTTGGATAGATTTGGATGAAGTTTAGTACACAGACTATGAACTGGAGTGACACAAAGGCTACTATTAGGTACCTAGGGACGCGAATGAAGTAAGGACAAGTCGCTATGTGTATGCAGCCCTTTTTTCCTAACATCCCGCTGCTGGGCACGGGTCTCCCTTCAATACGAAGGGGATCAGGCCGTAGTCCACCACGCTGGTCAAATGCGGGTTGGCAGGCTTCACACGTCTTTCGAAAACTTGCTAGATTTTCTCAGACATACAGGTTTCCTCACGATATTTTTCTTCACCGTCCTCCGACACTCCACCAAGTGGTAATAAAGCTAGAAATGATTCGTTGCTATTGAAGTCGCTATTAATTTTATAATATTCCTTTACCCGCAGTTCCAATCGCGTCGATATATAATGGTCTACATTTTAATCCATCTTATAAGGTATCTCTATTAAATTTCCATTTAAATCCTTAAGCCCTTACAGCATGAAGAAGTAATGAAAACATTCTTTCATAAACTTTGTTGTAAAATCAATGTGATTTCCAGTGACGGAAAGAAATCAGATAAAGAAACGCAATCACCAGTACTGAAAATTTTCAAAGATATTATGCAGAAGGAGAACACGTAAGTAACTAAATAAATGTTGATATCGAATGTTTGACATTATTAAATAAAACTATCTTTTCGGATTATTTCGCGGATTTATTTTGATTTTTGGTTCCCGACGTTTCGAATGCTTTACAGCATCCATGGTCACGGGAGAGACTGAGGTGTTTATATTTTTATATATTTTTAAATTTTTTATATATTTTTAAAAATTTTATATATTTTAAAAAAAAATGTTTAAAGTTAATAAAAAATAAAATAAAAAAAAATAAAAAAAAAATGTTTAAAGTTAAAAATATTGTAATGTAATTGGTGCAATTTTCATTTTGTTAATTGTGGGTAGGCTGTCTGTAACAACTATATCTTTAAGACATGTAACACCTCAGTCTCTCCCGTGACCTTGGATGCTGTAAAGCATTCGAAACGTCGGGAACCAAAAATCAAAATAAATCCGCGAAATAATCCGAAAAGATAGTTTTATTTAATAATGTTGATATCGATTTTAATCTCTTTCTAAATATGGTATTGATTTGGAATTCTATATGTGTGTGTGTGTGTGTCTGAGAGAACCTAGCAAGTTTTCAAAAGACATATGAAGTCCGCTAACCCACACGTGGCCAGCGTGGTGTATGATGGCCAGATCTTCCTTGTAGTAAAGGAAAGCCCAGCAGTGGGATATTAAAAAAAGACCTGAATACTAGCTTTTTAAAAAGAATACTTTCTTAGATTTACGCGAATATCTTATGAAACGAAACTATTTTTTCGGATTTTGTCGCAGTGTTATTTTATATTTTTGTTCACGGCGTTTCTAATGGTATAACCTGAATATCCTGTCAACGACCACCGAGCCACAGGTGACTCGGTTAACAATTAATTTCTTAGAAATTAACAGGATATATTATTTATTATCAGTCTCTCCCGTGACAAAATCCGAAGATAGTTTTGTTTTTGAGAACTATATTTATTTATTTTTATTGCATTATACATAAACAGCTTACTTAAATTGTTAATGGTACAATAAACAATTAAAATTAATTTTAAAATTATATTGTTTTTTATATAAAAATTATATTTTAAATATATTTATTAAATATGTTTAGGATTATTTACGATTTTTTTAGTGATCCAGAAAAAGTTACCTTATTGAAAGACAAGCAAAGAGACAAAAAGAAGAAGACGTACTCTGGATCCCGTTCTAAATCTGATCAAGTAAATAAATTGGCTTAAGGCTTGTTTTTTATCTAGAAACTAGCGATTTACCCTTGCTTCACTCGGGTGCCTCCCTAGATATGCAGATTTTGTTTACAATTTCATGGGTTCTAATTTTTTCCGCGGAGCCCTACTTCTTTTTCTGAAATAAAAATAGTCTTAGTTACTCTTTATAACATCAGCTATAGTCCCGTCAAAATCAGTCCAGCCAATTTGAAGTTTCTTATGTCTTTGATAAACATGTTTTTTGATACATGTATTGCATTAGAGATAAGCACAGGACCAAAATACGTAATGATTGACCCCGACGATAGGATTACATAGCAGGATCACTACAAACTGACCCATACGCTCACCGTTGTCGGCGTTGAGGACGAGTTCCCTTGTATGTGGCGTTAAGACTCTTTCAGAGTCACTCTAAGCCATCTCCGTACAGTAAGAACTTCTGCCGATAGTCAGTGAGAAAGAGAAGTCGTGGTCTGAACTTCCCAAAAGTTCCCTTACGAAACTTTAGCCTTCGAGGGCCTCATCCTCAACTTTTAGGTAGGGCCTAATGTCTACGTGACCTGGTCGCTGTAAAGGTCAGTAGGACCAATAGGAACTGCCTACAAAAAAAGAAATATTTGACTTTTTCGCGGAATTATTTAGATTTTTGTTCTCCGACGTTTCGAATTGTTTACAGCAATCATGATCACGGGAAAGACGAAAGTTTTAGACATCTCAAATATTCATTATATTAGTGTTACAGACAGTACTTTTCACAAAATTACAAAATTATTTAAAAAAATACAAAAAAAAGGGTTTTTAAATCACTTTGTAATTTTGTGGTCTGTAATCCGAGAAGATAGTTTTGTTTAAAATGTGATATATTTAGTTGCAGAGATCTTACGACTCTAGCAGTACTGACAGATACAAAAGTAGACAAACTAAAATAACTGTTCAAGACATTCAAGAGGACAGAGATGAGGTGTTCAATGACAGATCTAGAAGTCAAGTAAGTTGGAGCATATACTATTATGTTATTATCTTGTTGTAATACTTTTAAAGCAATTTTGAAGTCGGTGTATATTTTAGTTGAAATTTGATAATTAAATTAAGCTACTAACATTAACGATCGTATTTAAAAGACTACCAAATGTTGATCGTTCAATTATTTTCAGGCATTTCAAAATGAAAAAAGAGAGAGTTGGTGGCTCTGGGTTAGTACCCGTTTTAGAATTTATCATACACGGACTATCTATACTGAAAAATGTAACCCGATATTTAAAAGAGCAGTTATTATATTTCTCTTGGGCTCTTCTCAGCAGGACTGCTTTACAAGCCGATGGTAGCTTCCTCACGGACTACACTGAGGCTCTTAAAATTATATTGACCATTCAAATGCGCTTGTATAAGTCTAATTGAACAAAGTTTATTCTCATTTCTCATTACTTAAACATTATCATCACCATAACCAGTCTACTTTCGTCTACTGCCAACTGCTGCCAGCCACTTTGCGTATGTCGTTGCTCCACCTAGCTGGATGGCGTCGTACCATACGTTTACCGAACCGTGGTCTCCACTCTAGAACCTAAACGGGTTCTCCTTACTCCATGTACAGGTACAAGTTGGCGGTATTTCACCCCTATGCCTTGGAGGCTTGTAAAGATGTCGATCCTGCATCTTAACTTTCACCGGTCGTGTCGAAGTATCGTCCCACCGGATTATGAGAGTGACAGGAATAGAGAGGGCACGTTGTGTCTGCACTATAATATCCCTTGTAGTTGACTAGTCTCAGTAAAATTGGCTGCGTGGCCGAAATCAGTCAGCGAAAGTACGAGAGAATGTTATTATTATTAATAATTAGTAACTAAATATTTTTGTAGGGTGATCCTCAAAAAAAGAAGAACGCCGAAGATACTCGTTCATGTGTGTCTTGCGCGTAAGTACTTTATTTTGCTCTAACTTAAACATCCTACTAATAACCTAAATGCGAAAGTTTGAGACAATGGATGGAAGTATGTTTGTTACTCTTTCACGCAAAAATTACTGAACGGATTTTCATAAAACTTTACAGCAATATAGCTACAGCAATACATCAGAATCTATATATTAAGTACGTGAAGCAAAAACTTTGTACCCCTTTTTAAGAATATTGCGCGGATGGAGGAGTATGAAATTTCCCACACTTTTTAAAATTATGCATAAAAAATACATTCATTACCATGTATTTGACACACACACACGCATATATACTCTTTTGTTTATTGTTAAAGTCTGTGGTCTAATTGAGAATTACGTTAAGAATACGTGAAGCAAAAAAAAAATTACGCGGATGGTGGAATGTGAAATTTGACACAATTAAGTTTATATGGAGATATAGTGTAGAAGGCTAATATTTTTATATAAAATACATTAGAAATACATTAAAATAAACATTTCGTTTGTGAACCGATTTGTTTATTTTTTGTTTTAGTTTAATAGCTGTTGACGAGCTAGTTACGTTAGCTACAGTCGGAAGGTCGAAAAAAAAACAAAAACTAATTTAAAGTAATTAAAAAAAATTACAAATTAAACTTATTATCTAAATTTAATGTCCAACATACTCGATGTAAGTTTATGGAATGTAACTAAACAATATGTAAGAATTAAACTATCCGAAAACTGCAACTCAGCATTCCCGTCCCGGTGTCGACATTCTGTTTATTATTTCAATCGTGGGAATTTAATGTATAAGCGATTCACTTGGAACACTTGTATGTAACTAGCTTTAGATTTATAAATAAACAAAAATAATAATAATCATGGTCGAAGTTCGACCACTCGGCGAACTATAGTCTATACATATAATAAAATTGTAACTAAGCCGAATCTGTACATTAGATATTTTTCGAAAATCTTATTGAAATAAACATTATTATCGATACAGAGGCCGAATCTATGGTTTTTAGAATTTTTGTCTGTCTGTCTGTTTGTTTGTTTGTCTGTCTGTTACCGCATCACAGAAAAATCACTGGAGGGATTTTGATGAAATTGGTATGTTGATAGCTGGTTATGTGGGTCAACATATAGGATACTTTTTACCGCGGAAAAATATCGCATAACTGAGAAAAAATACAAAAACTACAATAAGAGTACTATACTAACTGTAAAACCTAAGAATTTGGTTTTTAGTCATCTGAACTCAGGCGGAGCCGCAGTTAATGCTGGCCATTTATAAAAATATAGTAATACATAACTGATATACGCTAGAATCTGGATACTTATAATAGATGCTTTATTTTTCATGCAACGAATGAAATTCAATCTAGATAGTGAAAAAATATGTGTTGTAGCAAGTACATAACAGTAAGTAGTGTGATTTTTCCAGATTAAAGAAGATTATCAGTTCAGAGTACACTTGTATCGCGTGTCTCTTTCTGCTCTTCTCGATATCGGTTGTTATTATTTTCATTATGGTATTCAAGATGCCGGACACAGGTACCTGTGATAATAAAAAAGCTTCAGCGATAAAAGAAAAGCGACAGCTTACAGAAAGCTACGGATATCCCTTTTATACTGAGAGGTATTTTTTTCTAGCTTCACAATAATTTCTGTATAGAGTGATAAATTTGAAGTATGTAAATACATACTTCCATCTAAATAGATACTTCCGCTAGACAAATCCAGCTTTTATAAACATAGATGTTTTTTATTCGAACATGTATAATACTTTTTGAGATACATAAAAATACTTTTTAACTGAAAAGGTCTCTCAAAAGTACTTTAAAAGTACTTTTTTCAGTCTAAAGAGTGTGTTTTATTTAATTTATATTAGAACGCCCTTTTTAATTAACCTATTATTAATAAAAAAATAGATCTCTAAGGTACTTTATATTTTCACAAAAAAATCCACCCTAAGCGTGGTCAATAATTACAATTTAGTGGTTTTGTTATTTATTGTACCTAAATATCATTTGCATTCTATCTTCTAAACGCTAAGTTAACTTAAAAATCTACCAGGAAATATATTATATTCATACCTAGGTACGTTTTAAATTATAATGGATATAGTATGTTATCCTTAAGAGATAGATATATACTATCGCAGGCTTTTCGGTACACCTATATAAGACACACAATTCTACCATACATTATTTTATTATATCTCAAAGGGTTTAGGCAGAGTTTTTGTTTGAAAGCTCCCAGACGCCTTATTTTTTTACCGACACCTCCAACAAATATCATTATATTTTAGCCAATGTATATAAAAACATAAAAAATATAAAACTTCCTCGAGAACCACTCTATCCATTGGTGAAAACAACATGAAAATCAGTGCAGTAGTTTTTGAGTTTATCGCGAACAGACAGACAGACAGACGCGGCGGAGGACTTCGTTTTATTAACCCCCGACGCAAAGAGAGGGGTGTTATAAGTTTGACGTCGATGTCTGTCTCTCTGTGTGTGTCTGTCTGTGGCATTGTAGCTCTCAGACGAATGGATCGACTTCGATGCGGTTTTTTCATTTGAAAGCCAGTGTACTTGCGGTGGTTCTTAGCTATGCTTGGTTAATATCGATCCAGTAGTGTAAGAGTATCAGCTCTTTTCCAAAACGATGTAAGAAATTTTGGCGTATGATTACTCGATTAAGTTTTTTACTTTTTAGGGGTTGTTCTTTAAACTATAAGTATTTTTTGCGTTGGGTGATTTAATTTATATGTAATGTTATTTTGCCTTTTTTAAACAGAAACAAGTGGGAGAATGAAATAACAAGCCATCTAAACTACGCTGGCGACATGGGGTCGGGTGAGTAAATTGCACTAATCATACTAATCTTCATTTAATTCTAAGTCTTATAATAGCGAAAGTTTGTGTATGTTTGTCATTTCATCATGCAGAAAAGGCTGAACGGATATGGATATAACTTATTATACAGATAGATAATTACAAATTTTATATACGGCTCGTAATTTCTAATTTTAGTATGTAGCTTTATATAATAACTAAATTAAATCTTGGATTTTAAATTTATCATAGTTTATAGTATTCTACTAGTCAAGCCCTTTTATTTGATATCGATATTGAGGGAGTTGTAAAAAAATATGTAATGCGCCATTTTGTGGCGGCGGCCATCTTAACTGATTTTCATCAAACATAGCTAAGAACACTCCCGACTATTTCACCTTTCAAATAAAAACAAATAATACCCAAATCGGTTCATCCGTTCGGGAGTTACGATGCCACCGACAGAAACACACATACAAAGACACGTCAAACTTATAACACCCCGTCGTTTTTGCGTCGGGCGTTTAATAGAAATGAAGATAGGAAATTTTATTCATATACAAGATAAAAGTTTTAAAATTAGCATTTAAAAATTAAGGCGCAAAGGAGGATAACGTATTTATCAGCCTACGAGTATATACATATGTATGTTTGTTCCTTTGTAGCACACTACAGACCAAACGCGTAGGCAGAGTTTGATGATTCTTAGATCAATCGATTTGTCTTAATCTTGAGAGTATCAGTAAAGACATGACAGTAATAAAAATTCAATATGGGGATAACAAGACGTCATATTGTGAAAAATAAAAAATGAAAGTTCTTGAACTATGTTATATGGGGTATGATTGAATAGGTATTTGAAAATCATCTTTAGGTTTCTCTTATCATTTTTCATTTCGAATGAGCATTTAGGTGTGTCCATATATGTATGTCTCCGACTGCATAATACTATATTCCTTCGTCAACTTGTTGTCATCTTTTTAATTAATTTTTATGCAGTCGGGTTTTTGAAGTTATACTTCTTTTGGCACGTTTGGAAAAAATATGAGAGTGAAAAGCGACACGATGAAGTTAGCTGCATTCTTTTTGCAAACAGAGAGTTGTGACATACGGGATGATATCTTTAGCTATTTTTCTTCTGTTATGCCAAAGAAGTATAACTTCTTACGTGCGTACATCTAGTATTTACACACATACTTTTTTTATAATATTTATTTTATAACTTATTATTTGTTTTAATATTAATGAATAATATTTATTTCAGAATACGCTAATGACGGTAGTAAAGGATCAGTAAGTCAATTATATATAAATACAATAATAGATAAAATTTACTTACTAAAACTCTAACACTGACTCATTGACAACGCACAGTCTAGAGTCTAGACCAATGACATTAGAAGCGTGATATTTTTTACAGTTTCCTATATAACTAAGGTGAACTATTAAGAAGGTCTTATGAAATTTCATACCTTAAATTGGTTAAATAAGGGTTGAAAGTTATACAAACGTTACATCGTACAAATTTTTGGAATGGAGAAAGTCATTTCTGAAGTTAGAAATATGAAAAATGTTGTATAAGCTTAAAACGTAACGTACATAAAAGAACATAATATAGACGAAGTAAGCACTTTTCCCGTTTGAAGTCTTGAAAAAAGATACAGTATATTAATTTAAAGGTGTCTTTTTGCTATAAGCGATAAAGAGAGACAGCAAAATAGCATTAATGAGCATAAATATTAGAAAAAATGTATTGTAAAAATTTCTCTCTCAATAGGTAAAGCTGTACAAAAACTGCTAAGCTAATCTACCCATAGCTAATTTTTAACAGGTAATTTATGCGATTTCTCCTCAATGTTCCCTATTTTTTCTTCAAATTCCTTTAGGGGCTATATCTTTCGTTCTCGTCGTTACTCCTCATTACACCCACTTTATCGGATACAAGTTTATTCTTTCTTACGATACACCCTTTGACATAGTGCTGTGGGAGATATTTTTATCAATCAGACGCTCGCGTTACTATTGGTACATTGAGAAATTTCGAGTTTTTTTTCACTAGGTGAATACGAAATGTTATCCGTTGGTAATAAATAAGGTTTTTAGAAGTGAAAAAGTGTTTTTTCTATAGGATTTTTGTATAAATTAAATGATCACAAGCATTTTTCTCGAAGGTGTTATTGGTAGCTATTAAAGAGTTGCACTATCCACCTCCTAGCTCCATCATCAGATCAGTGAGATGGTATCGAACTATTAAATATTACACGCGTTTTGTATAGTTGTGTATGTGCGAATATATCTATGACAATTATCACCTGAACGAAGATCTTCATAACGTCATATTCATCCCTTTTTAACGTCCCATTTCTGGGCACGGGCCTTTCTTCAATACAAGAAGGTCAGGCCATAGTCCACGCTGTCTGACTTCACAAGTCTTTCGAAAATTAGCTAATTTATCTCAGACATGCAGGTTTCTCACTGTTTTCCTTCATCGTAAGGCAAGTGGTAATCATGTTGGAAATGAATTGCGCACGAAAATATCAGAGTTAAGAGACCTGAAATTTGAACCCGCTTCACTCGGTTTCCCAAGCGAGCGCGTTACCACTGAGCTACTACTACCTTACTACTACCTATTATTACTACCTTTTGAAAAATATAGTACTAAACTACGAGTATATTATTGATTCATATTCTTCATCTATATTATTGATTTATTTCGAACTCGTAGTAACGCATCAGACTGAAGGGTCGGTTTGAACATACCATAACAAAATCCAAGGCTCAATACGCTGAACGATAAATGTCTGAGCTACATTTTTTAAGTTACTTATATAATTTCTGTATTTTGTTTTGTTTTAACAGAACAGAAAAGCTTTTTTTTGCGTTTTATATGCTACCAGCGACGTTTCCTCGCTGAGCTCGGGTGCATTTTTCAGGAAAAATATACATACAAATTGCGTTTTTTTCGGAAATGACACCTGTAAAGATAAAATTAAAAAATAAATCATTTTCATAATACAAAATTGTTATTCCAAATCGTTAAAGCTGTATCCGAGATACACGAAATAAATTTGTACGTAATACAAGAATTGCTCATTTTATATTATAAGATGTATGCATATAAAGTAACAACTAGTAAACAATATAGATATGGAAACATTCTAAATAAAATATTTCAAAGGTTTTTCACAACTCCTCTCACAGTGCATTTGGACTTGTTATTTTTGCTGTCACATCTACAGAGTCTTTTGTTTGCTGATGTATTAGACGGGGTAAACTTTTGAAGTTTTAAATTTGAATTGTGCGGTATCATAGTGTACATTTGTGTGTATGTTCTAGTCGTGTTTATGAGTTTTTACGTGTGTACTCTTCAATGTAATGGTCTTTTCTAGTAAAACTAAAACTGCCCAACTCCGGGCAGTTACTAAGAATTTCTTGACAGAAAAACTCAATAAGCAACATAAACTTAGCCTGACCCGAGGTTCGAATCCAGAACAACCGGTCGTGCTAGCCACAAAGCACCGAGGCGGTATACCCATACTTTTTATTATAAATATGAATGTAACTCTGTCTGTTACCTTTTCTCGCCTAAGCCGCTGAACAGATTTCGATAAAATTTTGCAAGGACATAAATTATATCCTGCGTACGGACATAAACATTCTCACACGAGTGAAGCCCGGGGCAAAAATTTGTGTTGTAAAGTATACGTAGACATACATAAAAAAATAGAGTACAATTAATAATAACTTACCCCTCTTTTTTTGAAGTTAGTCAAAAACTTATAAGCAAAAGATAAGTTAAACCACGAAATGAAACTATTACAATATAAATAAAACTATCTTTTCGGATTCTTTTGCGGATTTATTTTGATTTTTGGATCCCGACATTTAGAATGCTTCTCAGCAATCATGCTCATGGGAGAGACCGTGTCTCCCGTGACCATGATTATATTATCCGAAAAGATAGTTTTGTTTAAAATATTATATTTTCCTGTAGATCTAAGAAAGTATTATAGTACAATATAAAATATAGCGCCTAAGGGTTATAATACCGTTGTACCGACTGTAAATATTAATGTATCGTTCCGATGGGGTAATGGGAGTCAATTGAAATGCTGCAATATACAGAGTGTTTAAATATATATTAATTGACAAAGACAAATAGCTCAGTGCCTTTTTCGACTCTATTTGTCAACTGATTTTATATCTTTTTTATTTAGTACCTATTGACGCGCTTTAAATTCATATACATAATACAACATATTATGTTTTCCTCAAATCTTTAATAATAATTATGGTCGAATTTCGACTACTGGACAAATACTGGTAAGTATTAAATTGCCATTTTTTATGGAAACGTAAAAAGCGATGCTATTTTATTGAACGTTGCTTGTTTTAATACAAATTTTACTTGTAAGTATGTACGTATTCAGCCCTTTTTAAAGTCCCACTGCTGAGCGTGGGCCTCCCTTCAGTACGAGGGGAATCAGGCCATAGTTTACGCTGGCCAAGTGCGGGCGGACTTCACATGTCTTTTGAAAACTTGTTAGGTTGTCTCAGACATGCAGGTTTCCTTACGATATTTTCCTTCACCGTTAAGACAAATGGTAATCATGTTGGAAATGGATCGCACATTAAAACATCAGAGGTGAGAGACCCGGGATTTGAGTTCGTTTCACTCGGTTTTCCAAGCGAGCGCGTTATAACTGGGCTACCACTGCCTTTTGAAATTCGGGCTGAACAAATTTTACTTAATTTTTCTAAAATCAGATCAAAATTAATCAAACCAAGGTATCCTTTGATTAATTTTGCGCGCACATCTAATTGAACTTATTTTTCTTTGTTCACACTCAGTCATAGAACTCACGACCTCAAGCCCAACCTAGCGTCAGATGTGTAACTTTACCTCAGTATTTATAGAGGTTAATAAATAACAAATACGAAACACCCTATACCCGGCGGAGCGATAACAAATCATACTGAAGTCTTAGCTTGTATACTCTCCCGACTTTGCGTGATTTGTGGGAGCGGGAGACAACTCTTTTTTAGGGTTCCCTTGTGGTATATAACTAGGATATTCACGCGTTTTTCCTTAAACATTATAAAGATATATCTTTAAATTGTTTTTCGAATCTATGTGATATTTTAAATTATGCAATATTTAATGCGATTTCTGCTTTCGTTTCAAGTCTTTCGGAAAGTTTGTAGGGAATCATATACTAAAAATGATAACACTTTCATTATAAATGCGAAAGTTTGTATGTTTGTATGTTACTCCTTTACGCTGAAATAGCTAAACGGATTGTTATGAAATTTAATGCACATATATGTATGTATGTATGTATGTACATACAAACGGTCCACTCTGCTATCCGAGAAGTACCACATGGTACACAACCCGCTGCGGTAGGCCGCTTCCAAAGTGCGTTTTTTGGCCTCATGTCTAGCAGGATTGCCACACCTAGAATGAGATAAGCTAAAAGGTAAGTCGCTTGAGTATATATTGTACATACATAGGATTACATGTCATGACTAAGTGACGATAACTGAAATTTTGACGATTTTAAATTAACGACATAGATAACCATATAGAAAGATTTTATTTAGAATTCGACCTCTTAACCACTTTCACAAATAAATTTGCCCCGAATTGGAGCGACGGCTATATGACTTAGTGATCGCGTGAACATAATCAATGAAAAAAAATAATAAAGAACAGGATTTAAAAAAAAATGCTACTTCATGTACGGAACATCTGCTAATATATCATAATATTTTCATAATGCTTTTTCTTTCGTAAGTCTCTAAACTCTCAGTTAGGTATGGCACGTTTTTCAATAAGACAATATAAAGATTGTTTTCCTTTTTAGGGCGATAATACAGCTTTAATGAAGCTATAAAAATGTGGAATAATAACTATTTGGTTATATTTATCATTATAAATATAGGTATGAATTTACTGCCACTTACTGGAGACTTATTTTAGCTGATAGTTTCATTTATTGATTCATTTGTGATACGCTCAATGTCAATGATAAACTAGAACACGAGTATAATACTTTTGACTTGTCGTCTGTTTGCTTAGAATACTTAAGAAATAATTGAAACAAGTATTTTACTATTCTCAATAATAAAATTGGTAATTCTAGTCAACTTGATACCTAACAAAATTAATTGAAGTGAGAACAATCGCTAGTAAAATGTATTTACCATCTCGTTATAGCGCAGCATCCGCGCTGGATGCAAAGTTTTACTGATTTATGTCCAGTATATTTTATAGGTCTCATGGCGTAAAG